TATAAGAAACGAAAAATAAACTTCTTTACCCAAATTAGAAAGTAAACAAAGAATAAAAACAAATAACATTTTTAATATATACTTAACGTCAGGAAATAAAAAAAAACTAATGAAAAATATTAGGTATTTCTTTCAGATCAGTCTCAATCAAATACGTTGTGATTGACATGCTTGTTCTTTTTATGTTGCCCTATTAATTCTTTGCTGCAGTTTAAATAAAAACAAACCTACAATAGTGGCTGCTTATTACGCTGCTTTTACTGCAGAAAATTTACTAGAGAAAACATTCTTTAATCATTTGCTGAAGAATGAGGCAAACTTAATAAATGAGAACAAAATTTGCTAGAGACAAAAACAGTGGATCTACGTAAAAACAGTAGGTCTGACAACGCTGATCGTTCCCTCGAATGGTTATCCCACGGGGGTTTATACCATATGTAAAATATGCCAACCCGTTTACTGCGCAGACCACCCGGCGCTTGGGTGCTCTGAAGTCCGTGTTACAATAACCAAATTGTATTAAAATGTAAAGCACACTGAATAATTTAATAACATCTCGCTCAGTAACACAAAAAAGTGTTATTTCAACGTTTTAATTTATATATTAAATCAAATTAAAAAATCTGATGTGTCCAACACATGACTTTCCTATCTAGTTTTTATAGGCTTTTTCCGGTTATTTTGTACAACCTATTGCAGCATCTCTATAAATGTTTAGAGGATAAACTAAATATATACATTGTCCACATACATCTACCTCGAAACATTTTTCTATAGATATTCATTGAAAACGAAAATACTGAAAAATTTAAATTTAGCAATTTTCCATTACGGTCCATTTTAGAAAAATCATGTAGATCGATATCGCAAACAACTTTTAGTTCAACAATTTTCATAAAAATCAGAATTTTGCACATTTTGTCAAATTTCTCGGATACGGACCATTTCAGGAAATTTTAACATAAAACAAAAATTATAGATAATAATATTAGAAGTAACTTTTATTTGAACAATTTTCTTCTCTAAACATAAATAACAGATATATTCCATAAAATATAAAAACGGCCTCCCATAAAGTACCCCCCTAGATGTTCCGACTTTGTCCAAAATCTAATCATTTCACTTCAGGCCGAAATAAACCTTAAGTTTAAAATTTAATATTTTCTTTATCCGTTTTTGAGTTTTCTTCAAAATTAAAAATTTACACATTTTCTCAAATATCTCGAATACGGTCCATTTTAGAGAAATTATGTATAGAATAAAAATTTAGAGAATTATATTACAAACAACTTTTATTTAAACAATTTTTATAAAAAAATATTTTTTTTACATTTTGTCAAATTTCTCGAATACGGACCATTTTAGGAAAATTTTGTATAGTACAAAAATTATAGATAATAATATTAGAAGTAACTTTTATTTGAACAATTTTTTTCTCCAAATATAAATAACTGATATATTCCATAAAATATAAAAACGGCCTCCCATAAAGTACCCCCCTAGATGTTCCGACTTTGTCCAAAATCTAATCATGTCACGTCAGGCCGAAATAAACCTTAAGTTTAAAATTTAATGTTATTTTCTTTATCCGTTTTTGAGTTTTCTTCAAAATTCGAAATTTACACATTTTCTCAAATATCTCGAATACGGTCCATTTTACAGAAATTATGTATAGAATAAAAATTATAGAGAATTATATTACAAACAACTTTTATTTGAACAATTTTTATAAAAAAATATTTTTTTTACATTGTCAAATTTCTCGAATACGGATCATTTTAGGAAAATTTTGTATAGAACAAAAATTATAGATAATTATATTAGAAGTAACTTTTATTTGAAGAATTTTCTTTTCCAAATGTAAATAACAGATATATTTCATAAAATATAAAAATGACCACCTATAAAGTACCCCCCAGATGTTCCGACTCTGCCCAAAATCTAATCAGTTCATTAGACGCTGGAATAAAGCTTAAGTTTAAAATTTTGTGTTTTTCTGTGTATCGGTTCATGAGTTATGCGACCTACAGACACACAGACATCATCGCGAAAATAGTCAAAACGGATTCAGGGGACCTCAAAACGTAAAAATCCGTCGAAAACTCGAGGTCGAAAAAATCATGATTCGTATAATTTCCTTATATCTGTATACAGATAGGAAAGTAAAAATCCTTCCTCCATGGGTTATCCTGTGTCTCGCGACCCGTCTTCAAGCTTCCGAAATGTACGGAGCGTAACATTTATGCATCTGTCGTCCTCGGTGGTCTCCTGACGCGCCTATCGAATGGGGGACTATTCTGTAACAATTCCTTTATATTTAACGGCCTTTAAAAATATTGACGGCCTTTAAAAACATTTTCGTATTCGTTAATTTACTTCTGTCATTATTTAAACAGATTTCTTTAAGATTATTTTAAAGATCCGTTTAAATAATGACAGAAGTAAAGAAGAAAATATTTTTAAACGCCGTTAAATATAAAGGAATTGTTACAGAATAGACCTTATGGTACCTTTAGTCTAGCACTAAACAGAAAATCTGATATGTCTAACACATGACTTTCCTATCTAGTTATTACAGGCTTTTTTCGGTTATTTTGTACAAACTATTGTAGCACCTCTGTAAATATTTAGAGGTTGACTTATTATATACATTTTCCACATACATATAACTAGAAACATCTTTCTATATACACTCATTGCCAACGAAAATGCTGAAAAATTTAATTTTATACTTTTCCTCCAATTTTTCTATTACGGTCCATTTTAGAGAAATCATGTAAAAAAAATTATAGAGATCGATATCGCAAACATCTTTAAGTTCAACAATTTTCTTAAAAATTAGAATTTTTTACATTTTGAAAAATTTCTCGAATACGGACCATTTAGGAAAATTTTGTATAAAACAAATATTATAGAGAATAATATAAGAAGTAACTTTTATTTGAAGAATTTTCTTCTCCAAACGTAAATAACAGAAATTACCCCAAGATGTTCAGACTCTCTCAAAAACAGTGCTAAAGTGGCGCAGAGAAACAGTAACAAAGCCTACACAACACGAGGCGAGATAACCTTAGCAGTTGAAGTGATGATACACAAAAAAATAGCAAGGTGATGTACGATGGGTACGTCACGCCTCGTGTATGTTTTATGGATTGCACTTACCTTACTCTATTCTGAACCTTGTTGAAAACAAACTGACGTCTGTCAGTTTTTTGACATTATTTATTGTCAGTGTCAAATTTTGAGGTTAAACTATTTGTGTCTGTAAATAATCAGTGAATAATAACTAAGGTATTTCATAATTTACTGGATTACATTTTCATTGTCATAAATCAATTCTGTTTGCTTTATTCTACCGTATATTAGTCTGTTTATATAATTTTATTTTTCAAGGACTCATTATTGATTTTGATGATTTTCCCTTATAAGAGAAATACCATAACAGATATCTAGCCATTGAAACTTTATTTTGGCATTGCTTGTAAAGTATTATAATCATTTTAATGTAGAGCTTGTAAGTCTTGTAAGGATTTCTCTTATTTGTAATAATAGTTTCAAATTATTTTATTACCAGAAAATAAAGCATTTTTCTTAGTTAAATTACTTTAAACCATAAAATTAAACATGTACCAACCATTGATTTCGATTAGAATATTATTAGTCATGTAAAGTATTTAAAAAACAATATAATTGACCATGAAATTTTACAGTAAACCGTTAATATTTATTAATAACTAATTACATGTACCTTGGTCTTGGTTCATTAATACAATGAAATATTTGATATTTTTAAAAATAAATAGAAATTACATCGAAATATTTAAATGAGAAGTAATTAACTAGTCTAGATTACTAAACAATTAAAAATTTCAATATACACCTACCTCATTATTTTAATTCAAACAAAAAATACTTTCAAAAAACACATCGCTCACAACTGAAGGATTAAGTTTATTGTACCCCTGCCAGTGTTCTAGCATTCAAAATTAAAAAAGATCATAAAAGCTAATTTAATAACTTCAGGGAGAGCTGCCTTAACTTGATGTTAAGCCTTATCCAGTGAAGAGTGCCATTAAATCAATTTATTTATCCCTGCAAACACACATTCACATGCTCTGCTGTGGAATTTGCATTACAATGTCGCTTTCCACTAAATTGAAAACATGGCAGCTTGTCTCATTGGGCTGCATAGTGGTCTAGCCCATTAATTTAAAAGATCACATATACCAAAAATTAGAAACTATACCTGTGCTAGTGAAAGAAGTAAACAAAACTAACACAGGTAATAGTAATTTTTATTTACCATAAAAAATACAATATTTAAAATACATAGGTATACATTAAAGGTACAAAATGTCTTTATCAGTCGTATATACTTATGAAACATGGTTAGTCTCTGCCTGACCCATGAGTACTACTTAAAAGTCTGATTTTTTAATTGTTTAAACAAAAAGTTTACATCTTATTCTTTTATCAATAACTTAACTGTCTTGTGTACTGGTTAAACAATATATTTAACTTTTATTAAATCACTACCAAATAAAAAACTTCAATATAATACATGCAAAAATGTGTATTTGCTTATAAAATGAAATAGATATATTTTTGGTTATTTTATTATTATTTAGATTCAAAGGCAGTTTCTTCTATACTCTTTCTTTCTAAACATCTTGGCAAAAAGTTTTTGTGTGTCGATTTAAACACAAATATGCAGGAGATTATTCGCATTTGGTTGATCAGCCATAAAATAGGAGTACCTGATACAATTAATGACCATTTGCAATGCAATAAAAACGATCCTGTCCTTAAAATTCCGGCAAATTATTCTTAGAAGATGTCTCTGAGATGTCATAGATCTACAATGTTGCAACAGTAATAGTTTAAAAATTTTAAAATAATACACCATGAGGTCAACAAACCCATATGCGACCAACGACGGGTTAAAAGATGAAAAACCTGGTTTATTTAATTCAATTTTATATTTTAATTTTGTTTTTTAGGTTTATTTTTAAGAACAAAAATGACAGTCCAACAGTATTGCTTAAGATGGAATAATCATCAACCAAACTTCATATCAGTGTTTTCTAGTCTTCTAAGTAGTCAATGTCTAGTAGATGTAACCTTGGCTGCAGAAGGAAAACAGTTGCAAGCACACAAGGTGGTGTTGTCTGCATGTAGCTCATATTTTCAGGTATGTAAGATGTTAAAAAAACCACAATCCATAATAGAAACACTGAGTAATTAGCAAATATTTGACAGATCTGTAAGTTCACAAGAGCTTCAATAAAAAAATTAAAATGGCATAATTTTATTTCCTGGTATTTTAAATTTATTAGTCCCTAAAATACCCAACTTACAAATTATCTGTATGGGAAAATTAAATCCAGATCTTTCTGTATATAAATTATCTATTTTTCATTTATTTCTCTTTTCTACTTCAATCTTTTGTTGATTTATTAACACTTTGTTTTCTATGTCTCTTTGATATGCTTTATATAATTTATCCCTTGTGATTATTGATTTCATTAGACCTACCATAATCCACTCTTTCTTTTTAATTAATGACCTTTTTTTGTTTAAGTACAGTTGTATTTTTAGAAATAAGGGTGTTAAGAGTATTAACAAAGTAAATTGTTGCTTCTTGTATATCTGTTATACCATATAAAGCATTCCAATTATAAGAAGTTAAATCAGCTTTGAGATTATTCTTATTTAATTTATTGATAAATTTAATTTTATTCACAGGTTCCTTATTATTAAATATAATTATATTTAAAATTGTAGCTCTATGATCAGTAACAAGGGTATCTAGAAAATAGCTAGAACAACAATCTTTGACTTGTCTATTTTTTACTTTCCTATCTGTATACAGATATAAGGAAAGTATAGGAATCATGATTTTTTTCGACCTCGAGTTTTCGACGGATTTTTACGTTTTGAGGTCCCCTGAATCCGTTTTGACTATTTTCGCGATGATGTCTGTGTGTGTGCCTGTGTGTGCGTCCAATGAGCTGATTAGATTTTGGGCAGAGTCAGAACATCTGGGGGATATTTTATAGGTGGTCATTTTTATATTTTATGGCATATATCTGTTATTTACGTTTGGGGAAGAAAATTCTTTAAATAAAAGTTACTTCTTATATTATTATCTAAAATTTTTGTTTTATACAAAATTTTTTCTAAAATGGTCCGTATTCGAGAAATTTGACAAAATGTAAAAAAATATTTTTTTATAAAAATTGTTCGAACAAAAGTTATTTGTAATATAATTCTCTATAATTTTTATCCTATACATAATTTCTCTAAAATGGACCGTATTCGAGATATTTGAGAAAATGTGTAAATTTCGAAATTTGAAGAAAACTCAAAAACGGATAAAGAAAAAAACATTAAATTTTAAACTTAAGTTTTATTTCGGCCTGACGTGAAATGATTAGATTTTGGACAAAGTTGGAACATCTGGGGGGTATTTTATGGGAGGCCGTTTTTATATTTTATGGAATATATCTGTTATTTATGGTTAGAGAAAAAAATTGTTTAAATAAAAGTTACTTCTAATATTATTATCTATAATTTTTGCTTTATGTCAAAATTACCTGAAATGGTCCGTATTCGAGAAATTTGACAAAATGTGCAAAATTCTGATTTTTATGAAAATTGTTGAACTAAAAGTTGTTTGCGATATCGATCTCTATAATTTTTGTTTATACATGATTTTTCTAAAATGGACCGTAATGGAAAAATTGTAGGAAAAGTGCTGAATTTAAATTTTTCAGTATTTTCGTTTTCAATGAATATCTATAGAAAAATGTTTCGAGGTAGATGTATGTGGAAAATGTATATATTTATAGAGGTGCTGCAATAGGTTGTACAAAATAACCGGAAAAAGCCTATAATAACTAGATAGGAAAGTCATGTGTTGGACACATCAGTATTTTATACTTACAAACATGTGATCTATGCAAGTTTTCGATAAACCTTGTATCCTAGTAGGAACATTTATGGTTGAAGTAAAACTAAACTCACTTAAAACATCTAAATACTCATTTGAATAAACCTCATCGTCTCGAAGTATATCAATATTTATATCACCTGCAATTACATGCATATCACAATTCTTTTTAGATTCACTTAAATAGTGGTGCAGTTCAGTCATGAATTCCCTTTCATTCATTGAGGGAGGCCTGTAAAGTGATGTTATTTTAATAAGTTTATTTTATTTAGTTACTATTATTTCCAAAGCTTTGCAATGATATAATAATAATAATAATAATAAATACGTTTATTACTCAATAATATTATGTAAACGTAACAAATAAGTTATACACGAAACATTTATTTATATCAGTAAAATTAAATAACATATTATACCTTGTTCTTTGAAACAAGTTTATATCAAAATCATTTCTTGTTTCAGTTAATATTAGACAATCAAAATATTCATTGAATTGATTTAAAACAACTTCCAAGTTATCTATGTTTTTACTAATATTCCTAATGTTATTGTGAAAAATTTTAAAAATGGTCCGGTTTTGTGTTACTTGGTTGTACTCATTGATACTGTATTATTGTACTAATACTTTAGTGGGAAATGAAGTGTAGTTATAGTCTCTGATACTAAATAAATCGCCTACTATTAGTGAAAATTAGAACTATAATCTAAGATGCTTTACTTACTATTGAGATGGTAGGTACAATTCAGAACTGAAGAAAAGTTTACTATGTGCGAAAAGAATTATACAGAATGACAATTTTTATACACTATGAAATTAAATAGATATTTTTTCCATTCTGCTAGCAATTTTTACAAATTTTAATTATCAGTATTCTGACTGGTACTTCTAGTAGTAACAGACTTTTTTCTTTCCTTTTCCTTTATTTTTTTGCTGTATTTGTTGACTTCTCTGTTTATCCTCTTTTCGTTCTTCCTTATGTTCCGCTACTTTTTCTTCTTTTTTCTGTTTTTGCTCCTTTGTCCTCAATATCGTTCAATTCTCTTATTTCTTTATTATTATCTTGATATATTGTTAAATTAATTATTTTATTTGCAAATCTTAGAGGTAGATGCATGCAGTTTTTTGAATGCCTCTTAAAATAATTACGACGCCTCTGACAGTTCAATAATTTTCGGAAAATTAGTCGCTAAAAATTGTTCACACCAGCATTTAAAACGAGGTTTCATACATTGCGTTCGGTTTGCCACGTTCCTTTAACTCCTTTAACACTTTTAACTCCAAACGACTCTTTTAGCGTTCGGTTTAGTCCGATTAGTGACAGTTTAACACGCTTAAATGTCATTTAAAAGCACCCTAAAATTTGTCCCGCTCCAGCCCCTGACTGACCGAACTCGCCTATAGTATCGAACCAAAAGAAACAATTTTATTTAATTTGCTGTGAATATTCAATATTGGTTTGCAAAACAAATTAAAGTGAAAGAAAAATGGGGTAGTTCAGTTAGTTTAGCCCAATGGCTTGATCACACATTTTTCGCTGGTCTGTGTAATTAGTGACGATTTTTATGAAGGATTTGTTACTGTTTCACATCTTAGTAATTTATTTTGTTGATTTGTTTTAGTCGTTGTTTGCTACAAATCCATGTAAACATCCTATTGTAATACTTAAAGATGTAAAATTCTTGGATCTAAGAGTAATGGTTGACTTTATGTACCATGGCGAGGTCAGTGTATCCCAAGAACAACTGCCATGTATATTGAAAACGGCAGAAATGTTAAAAATAAAAGGTAAAGATTGTGCAAATAGCTTTTTTATATAGTTTTTATTTTCTACACTTTATTTTTCTTTTCATTTAATATTTATTTTAGGTTTGACAGAAATTCCTATGGAAAATCCTGCTGCAAAATGCCAAAGCCAAACAACAGAAAAAACTGAAATGACACAAAGCACAGAAACTTGGAGTTTGGATGAAAATAGACCTCTAAGTCCTTCTTCACCTTCAAGCAAAAGGTATATTTTTTACTAACAATCAATTAAGGTATATTTGTTTTATAATTTTAAATAAAAAGGCGTTATTTTTGACTTTGAAACATGGGGACATTGAAAAGTAATAACATAATAGCCCAAATTGTATATATATCTAGTTAAACTTTAACCACTTTGTAAAAATAGTAACTACATTGAGGAAAATTTAATAATCTGCAAATATCTTGATTACCTATTTTATTTAGCAACATTATTTGTAAATTGTAGTGAATTTTTGTTTAGCATAAACAAAATATTGTTACAATACATGATTTCAGGAGAAGATTAAAAAAGAACGTTATATGTAATCCGACAATAACCACAGAATCGGCAGAAGGTACATCGAACGAAATTTTATTGAGTTCAGTCGATAATGTTTTCGAAGCAGTTTTAAAGACAGAGGAAAGTAGGAGTTTAGAAGAGAGTCCGCAAAAATATAATGGTATTCCCGTGTCAAGTATACAACCGTCAACGTCTCATCATAGAGAGGCAGAACAACCTGTTCATCAAATAATCACAGTAAGTTAGTCAGAAATATAAAACACAACAATTTTCTATTTTTAATTTGATTTGATCCACAAAAAAATGTTTTTAAAGTTGGCCATGGACAAATCTTCTTTTTCAAATGACAGTCATGGCCTACTTTTTTTTGTGGATCACTCGTCATATTGCATTAAAGCAAATTTTGAACTATTGTAGTTGAAGGTGATTTCCAGGAAAGTATGCAATTTATTTTGCTGTGTGGTAAACCAAGCACCATAGTGGCAGGCGCTGTTTCATTCATAAAAACACATACATACGCGCTCACATCATCCCCACTCAATTTAGTGGGTGCCTCGTTTTTTATAAGGTCAACAAATATCGAAAAATAAATTAGTCGAAAGTTCAAGTGATATTAAATGCAATTAGTCAAAAGATCAAAAAGTAAAAAAGAAAAAGAACATTGATTGGGAGCATGTTGGAATTTTTTGTTATTTTATCACCACTTGAATGTAAAGCAACTTTGTATATTGTTACTATGTGTGTTCAAACTTGATAGCATAACGTTTATTCACCATTTTTTTCATAAATCCAAATACATTTTTAGTCTTAATGACAATTTTGTTAGTATTATCACAGTGGGGGTGCCCTAATCTCACACATAAGTTCGTATACTTAAATATAAATGTAAAATATTTCCTAGTATTCTAATTAAGAAAAAAATTTAACTAATATTCCTACCTGTGAGGCCTGGAGCCATTTCAGGTGGCTTCACTCATACATAAATTTTTTTTGGTCATCCTGTCTCTGGTAGACTCATCTAGTGATTTTGCGTAGCAGACTCAACTGATCAAATCGGTAGACGTACTGACGATAACAGAGGCAGAACCGGGCTGGTAGAGAATGGCTCTCATGACAATATTATTCTTATTATTAATGTGCTCTTAAGAATGATGTGCAATGTTTGTTTTATTTTGGCGAATTTACTGGAACAAAATTAGTGTGTTAATTTTATTTTATTAAAAAGTGAATGAAATACAGTCAAGTGTTTTTCTAAATTTTCTGAATAATCTATTTGTTAGAAAGTGTTACCACATAGATTATGTTGTACTAAGTGTTGATGTTACTTTACTTTTCAGCAAGTAACTCCACCAGAAGATATAAACACATCCCAACATTTAGAGTGTTCTCCTGTAGAAATGGCTCGCACTTGTCCAACTAGTCAACCTACTACTGGTATGTAATAGTTTTTTATTTTATATTTACTTCTTTTTTATCATCTAAACTTTATCACCAATATACAAAACAATACCTTGTACTTTGAAGCTATTTTTTTTTTATTGAATTTTAAAAGAGTTATATTTTACTTTCGTTTTTTGTACAATTATTTTTATTATCAATAACATTATTTAGAAAGATCTCATTTCCTTGTGGTTATTAATTTATCGTAAATAAAATATTTACCTTATGAACCCAGACCTGAAGGAACCCAATAACAATTTATTATGTAAATAAGGGAAAACCCCTCTATTCTGCAAATTAATCCCTTCTCTTATTCTATAACTAGAATATTAATGGATGAAATTAGACCACAAACCTCTCTTGTTAAATATTGTAAAATATTTCTTCAATTTCCGAAATGAAGTGAATCGTCCTTCCGTTACTCGATTGATACTAAAATGTTCTATTATGCTGCTAGCAGATTTTTCAAGTCTTCAAAATACTGACGAGGAGAAGCGTAGTTCCTTTTTTTTTTTCTTTATAAGATTGGCTACATATGGTAAATATTTTTTTCGATAGTACTTTATGTCTCCAATGAAGCAAATTTGTGTCACATTTCTACTACAAAATATTTATACCAGGTATTCACACGAAAACTAATATTAAATTATTTCTGGTGTTTTTGAAGATAAAAACTTGAAATTTTGGATGGTTGTTCAGTATATAGGGGGATAATGAACAGTATATCTCATACCGCTCCATCACAGGCCGAAATCTTGAAACAAATAATATCAGCGTTGCCAGTTTATACGGCCTGGCCAACATTACAACACTGATATTATTCGTTCATGCTCGCACTAATGCATGTCGTGATTTACAAAAAATGTAAAGGGTATGAAGTTCAGTGGAATGTAGGTAAAAAGCTTAAAAACACTATTTTTTTTCAAGAATAACACATTTATTACATGTTAAAATAAAATAAATAAAATAAAAAGAAGATAAATAAATCAAGATTTATTTTAAACAAATTTACGAATTCAATTTTGGGGTTAATATTTGTACAGTTTTACAAATTGGTAAATGAGAGATTTTTAAATCAAAATTTAGATTTTTAACACTACTAAATTTATAAAAGTTATTAAATCGATAAATTTACCATACTTATATACAAGGTGGGGAATTTAAATGCAACGCTTCTTATACGGATCTGGTAAAAAGAATTTTGTAAAATCCGAAAACACGTAGAACTGTACAACAATAAACCTATCCATTGATAGTTTTAAACTTGTAAAACTAGGTAGTAAACTAACTTACTTATTATCATCCATAAATGTGTGCGGTATAGAAAAATTCAGAACTTTTAATGTAAAGGTAAGTATACATTTTGATTAATAATAAGGTAGTTCATGAAAATAATCGAAGAAAGAGGCATGTAATATGAGTTTATAAAAAAGTTTGTCCTTGTTAAGCACCTACAAAATTTAAAGAACTTACAATATAAAAATGTCTTTGTAAGATAAACTACCAACTTTCATCTTAAAGGATAAATACTTAAATGAACATTTCCGAAACATAATTAAAAAAGTTTTTAGTTACCTAAATGAGCTTTCTCGAAACAATGAACTTAGTTTTGGCAGTGCTCCAAGCTTGAGATATTTGCTTTTTGAAGAATATCATTAGGATCAAATTGCTCCGAGTGCTCTTTTTTAGATACCTTCATTTTCTTCAAGTCCTACAATTGATAGCCAAATATTTCTTGAATGCCTTTCAGTTGTAAAAATCAAGCATAAAAATATTTATTTTACCACTATAGTCCAGACTAAAGACAATTTTTTGCGAAATTAATAATGTTGAAAAATCAAAGAAAATAATAGTAATACAAAAGTAGATAATACAAGTGATATTACGGCAAAAATCTTTAAATCTACACCACTGAACTATGCAATACATCATCACCTAACCTTACTTACTTATAAAAAGATACTTCAGCACTCACATTTCCAGTTTTTTGCTCAAAATGCACTCGCGAACCATGTTGTTAGCTATACACAAGCCGAAATTTGTACAAAAAAGTCTAAAGATTAACGAAAACACCCAATATGCAACAATTTACTGGATCGCAACGTCGCAAACTATCGATGGATAAAATACTATACGTGACGTCCGTGACGTATAGTATGAATGAAACAAAGTTATTTTAAATTACGATGGTGTCACGTTTAACGCTTTTAAAATCCTGGCATTTATTTGCAGGAATAATAGTTGTTTGCCATAGTTTATCTTATTATTTGTAAAGGTGTTATTTAGCAAGCGTATATATATGTAAAAACGATAGTTACAAAAATGTCCTGCCTAATGGTGTAAAAATAGATGCTGCTAAAATATCAAGTCTCCTGAAAGCAGTTAAAATAGATTAATCTGCTTTGTACACATTTTATACTTTTTTTGTTTTGTTACAAGTAAAAATGTTTCGGGAAATATTGCAACATCTCTGCCCACAATGCGTCGGAGTTGGAAACACTGCACTAGGTACGAAAATAAATTGGTGGGGACGCTTGATGTGTCGCAATATATCTCGAAACTATTCTAATTAATAAAACTTGTTGCTATTAGCGAGTTATAGGTAAAAATTATTTTTAAATATGAAAGGGATAAACTACACAGCCTGACAACAGCGCACCAGGAAACGCATGTCTGTTCATTTACGAAATAGCTATGCGCTACGTTTCTTTGCAATGTATGACCGGGTTTTAAATGTAAATAGAGGAGCTTTGGTGTCACGATATATTGAAAAATAGGCAGAATACATTTTTGATATCCAGAGGAGTGCATTTCAAGAGTTTGGATTCCTCACGCAATTAAACTGCGTTTCATTGTCGGCGAAGACCCTAATGATAACGATATCTGTACTTTTCACACGGACTTGTTCAAATCGTATTGGAAAACGTTCAGTGACCGACACTGTATACTAAATTAGACAGAATTTCAAGTTTTTATCTTAAAAAACACCAGAAATAATTCAATATTTATTAGGTTTTCGTGTGGACACTTGGTATACATATTTTAACGACATCAATGCATTAATATATTTTTGCAATGAATTAATACCTTCTCCCAAATTATCTTCAGAAAAAACTAGTAAATTGGTTTCATCATCCACTGTTTTTTACATTTTCATGTTTGTGTTTCAAGACCATTCTATATACAAACAGAAAATTCAAAAATTTTACATTTTCATGTTTGTGTTTCAAGACCATTCTATCTACAAACAGAAAATTCCAAAACATTCTGCCAATAATTTTTAATTATGTTATAAATTACACTGTTCTGTTTATTTTGAAATTTGAACTAATTTTTTAAACTTTGGTAGTTAGTTTTTTTATTCAATTTAAAAATTTATGAAAGCATAATGTAATGAGACTTAAAAACGATGTAACATATGGAAACGTTTTTTGTTATTTATTTCTCAGAAATGATTTTTCTTAATAAAAGTTGAATATTTACTTAATCCCTTTAAATCAAAATTGATCATGTACGAGGGAAGTATGCCAAAGAAGGTCACCTAGGGAATTTTGAGTTGAAACCTATGCCATATTTTTGGGCTATTTTAAGGAGACTTATACCCTAAAGGTGTGATGGAAAACCCCCATGATTCAGTTTCATCCTTAAAGTCGCCAATTATTTTACAAACAATTTTTTTCTAGATTGAAATGAATTTTCCCACGAGCTTTTTCAGACTATAATTGATCAATAGAAAAATAGGATTAAGAGATAAATGACTACATATCATTCCAAATAATGTAATGTGTATTTGGGTACTCTTTAGCTGATATCATATTAATTTCTATTTTTTTCCATATTTATTTAATTTTGACACAAAACAAACCTTTATTAAGAACACTTTTATTTTTGAAAAATCAATGATAAAAAGTTTTCAATATAATGCAGTTTTTGAGTCTCACTTTATATTGTTTGTTTTATTTTACATTATGCACTTTCGGAGAGGTTCTTGTTAATATGGTTTGAGAAGAGAGAGATTGAGATAAATGTTACAAATTATGAACGGTAATATTAAGCTGCTTTGATTTCTGAAAATATTGATAGATACTCATATACCTAAATGAAGCATAATGGAGATTTTATGTAAGAAATCTAAAAACAATTATTACATTTCGTAATTAATTGCAAAAGGTTCGCGTACAAGTCACTAAGCAGCAGGTATACAAACTTAGTTAAGGAAACAGGTTCGACAATATTAAAAAAGTACACAAATAAACTTTCGTTTAACTTTGTAATATTATTTTAAAAATTCTGAATGAATTGAAAAATATTTTGTTGTTAAATGCCTATTTTCACATAACAATGGTCCATTTCTAGTTCTTAATCCAACATTAAATTGAAATATAGTCAGCAGCTCCGGACAATTTATTACACAATTTAACAATTTTTCTTAGTAAATCCACATCTACATTTATCTAAACAATAATAAAATAATAGAAAACCGTAAGTAAGCGACTATTTAAATAAGCAAAATATAAAAATAAATGTTTCAAATACTACCCTGTTTATTGTTATTATTTTGTATACTAATCCATGAAATGTCATTCCTGTCGATTTATTTTTTTCAATTGCATTCCTATTATTGCAGTTACGAAGAGCACATGAAACAATTATTGTATTTTACTATATTATTTATACAGGGTGTCCTTTAAAATGTGTCCCAAAATTCTCAGGCAGATTCCTTAACCAAAAAATGGAAAAAAAGTTCCTATAGACCTATGTCCTAAAGTGCCCCCTAAGCGAGCAACAGCCTATTTTTTTATTTTGATTTTTTGAATATTCTTAAAAATGGAAACAAATAAAAGAACCAAATTTTGGCTGTTAAATATGATCAATAATAGTGACCTTTTGACACCTTCAAAAAGAAATTATTTCGTCAGGAGTGTACTTGGGAATTTTTTGAAAATTTTGATTATTCATAACTTTTTTGTGTTTTTGGTAATGACTTATCCATA